AATTTTAATATCGTTAGGTACGATAGCTTAAAATCTTCCAGAAGTAATAAAATTATTAATTAGCTTGTGCCCGCGACTTTGTTCGCGTGGAATAGTATAGACTTTCTGCGGATTTTCGGTTTAAAAACTATTCTATGTCCTTCCTCGAGTTCCAAACTATGTCTGTTTTACACAAATGGGTTCAGTAGTTTAGGCGTGAAGAAAAGACAGACATACAGAGTTACTTTCGCATTTATAATATTAGTTTGGATGTAGGGATTCTTATGTATTGTCAAAAGGAAAGTATTTATTATTGTCAGAGTCATTATTGTAATTAGCGAGCAATGAAATCGCAAGTCGAGCTTAGTATAAACAAGCAAGTTATTTGGTATGCGGATAAGCAAATAAGAATTGATTCTGTTCATACAGTATAGTGAAAATGAAGCTTAATTAAAAATCATTCAGTGATAAAGAAGGAAAAAACTAATACGTTGGAAAAATATTTTCTTATCTACATGCTTACAGTGCGGCCGACGTGTCTTGGCGAGTCTGAAGTTAGCCGATTAGCTGCGCAGTACACAATTTTGTTCCTAAAAGATCCATTGCGCAGACAAACGGCTAACTTCAGACTCGCCAACATACGTTGGCCGCAATGTAGTTAGTTAACTGTGTTTACATTTTTAAAGTGTAGTTTCTTTACTTGTATGTGTTTTATTATTAGATAATTATAATACCTACGTATTCCATTTATATTATAAAAAGTTGTGTCAACACAGATGATGATGACTTGGTAATATATATAATTGTTTAGGCCGTGAATTGTATCGCTATCACAACAGAGTATAAAAAAGTCGCTTTCTCTGTCCCTATATCCCTATGTATGGTTAAATCTCTAAAACTACGCAACAGACTTTGATGTAGATTATTCAAAATGGTCGAATGTAAAACGTACTGAACGTTTTTGTAATATTTAAATGTGCCATAACTTATTACAAATATTAAATACGTGAGAAAAAATATTATATTGTAACTATAAACTTTAAAATTTTGCGAATTACAAATGTAATTTTTTTAATAAAATTACTCCCTAATTAAGTTTCATAATATAAAAATGTCATCCAACCGAGCCCTTGGACCAAGTTACCGCTGGTTACGGCTCCAGAGACGGAAACTTCCCAGTGTGTGTTTTAATGAAACCGCTGTGTTGTTTCACGGCGGTTTTCTGTGAGGCCGTTATATCACGCCGGTCGAGCCGGTCCTCTGTGAATTGTAGTTCTATATATAAGTCGCTGCTAAGCTCCATTTGATTGTAGCGTTGATGTTGAGATGGGAACATTGTAGCTATCAATAAGTGAAAGAATTTTGGCAATCCAACCAGTGGTTCCAAAGATTACACCCTACATACAAACTTACAAATACCTCTTTATAATATTAGTATAGATAGTCCTGGAATATCAAAGTACAATTTTATTGACTTTGTTATTTTGTTTTATTGTGCCCTATGGTAATGTATGATGTAATTGATAAAAAAATGTTTCGTTGTGGACCTCTGCTTATACTATAATAAAAATGATATATTTCTTTATCCGTTTATAAATATTTATACATTTTGATTATGTTTTTCGTTAGAGCTATTAATTATTATGTTTAACGGCTTATTTAAGTAACTGTGACGAGGAGCTCGACTAGTTTCGAGCTACGCTCGGGGTTCATATCTATGAGCCGATGCGTCAGTTAGCTAAACGTCGTCCGCCGCGGATTGTCGCGCGATGCTGCTGAGTAAATCGTTAAACAAAATACAAAATTGATGTTAAGTTTGTTTTTTATATCCTTAGTGTTATTATTTTTGGAGTTAATGTTATTATATTTTATATAGAATACTATTTTCATTATAAATGTCTAGATGTTAGTATAACTGTGCCGTCGTCACATTATTAAATAAATAGTTTTGACTTTTATATTTGCTTATAATGACTTGTCTTATTTATAAACCGATTGTAGTTACAATATGAACACCTTTGAATGTTTACAATGAGGGTTTTGGACACTTTCTGCCGCCAGGTGGCGCTTCTTATGCGTCAGATCCAAACAGCTGTCAGATAGCACAGATACGAGTTTTATTTATTTGGAAGTATTATTGATTTTATTATGGATTAAAGCTAAAAAATGGTTGCCGAAAATAAGTATTTGATAGCTACAATGATTAAGTAACGAATTTTTTCCTAATCCTTAATGAACAACAGTTATACACAAAAAATAAATAAAATTTGATAGCAAAGAATAAGAAAAAACCATCGGAGTCGATGAAAAAATTTTATTATTATTTGTAGAACGTTAGCGTACAAAATAAACAGTCCTTTTATCGTGTTCTGGGCGAGCGTTCACCTGCTTAGAAATAGGAAGTAGTCTCCAGTAATACGGTAGTTTCCAACTAATCAAATTCCAATACTTTTATCCAAATGTCAAAAACGATACTTTTCTATGATAATTGTATGAAAAACTGAGTTATGACGTCATATTTTTTATGCGTCAAGTACTTTACTTTTTTCCTAAAAAATTGCTAAAAAATATCTAAAATTCAGTGTATTGATCGATCGATGAATAAAAGTATAGTTATTTTTCAATATGTTATTGTATTGAAACGTCGAATAAATTTATTTTTGACCTAGGAAACTACCCAATTCTTTGTGTACACTGTTTTGTTTTGATTACTAACACCTTATTATTATGTTTTATTTTTTGTGTATACTAATGACCCTACTAACGTGTAATTGAAAAGGCTATATGGTGTCCGTTACCCAGGCCAGATGTTGTCGACAATGGTCATTTGAATCTTATAGATAATTAGTTGTGCGGCTTCTGTAATTGTTGCGCACATTTTTAAATTTGTTGCGCTTATAGTTTTTTAATTATTTCCCAAAAACATTTCCTGCTGGCGTAACGTTACCACAGCCAGACCTTTTTATTTCTAATGGGAATATTTAAATAAATATTAGCTATAAAATTAGTTGTCTAGATAAAGTAAATGTTGTGCCTTATTTTGTATTTGTTCTTTCTTCGGTTGCGAAGTTATTCGAGATTTTGCTGCGGTAACGTTTTTGGTTTTGCTAGATCTTTGAAATGGTTAAGCGGATTCTTATCATATTTTGTACACGACTTCCGAGGACTTAGTTTAAATTTGTTGTGCAATAACAAAACCAAAATAATGCATATTTTAAAGGTTTTTTCATTAAATAGAAAAACACTTCAATTGGCCCCAGCACTCTCAATAAGAAGTCTAAAGACTTACTTTAAACGTAATTTTAAAGCTTGTAACTGCCTTCAAATGTATGTGAAGTTTCATTAGTATCCCGTAAGTATTTAACAAGTTATGATGATATTCAGTTCTTCACGAGCACGGCCTTAATGCACGCGGTGTTATTTGGCCACTGGATTGGATATATGAACTGAATGTTATGTCAATAATTAGTTGTTTAGATCAGTTGTATATCAGTAAAATTTCAGCTCAATACATTGGATAATTAATGAGATAATACTATGAAAGTCATTAGGAAGTGAATGACCGTGGTAAGCCGACCAAGTTTAGGTGGTTACGAAAAAGCGAAAACGCAGAACATTGTACTATCTTTTAAAATGTTTAGTATAATACACCTTACAATTTTGGTACAGACGCGTACACTGTTTAATAGCTATATAATAATAATATAAAAGAAAACATTATCTTCCAGTTCCACAAAATTATCAAAAATCACCGCTAGAGCATGCCGTTCGGTAGGACGCAGGAGGAGTGGGGTGAAGGGGTAATACATTGTTTGCATAACGCACTCAGTCTTGCCAGAAGGTTACTTTTGTAACCTTTTAGATGATTTTTGAACTGCATTTTGAAATAGAAATGACAAGGACGGGTGATGTTTAATCGGTTGCTAAGCAACACAAGTTTTTATAAGTAAGGAAGTAAAAGTTCAATTGAAATGATTATTTTACCTTTCAATAAAAAATCTTGAATAATCATGTAGTTTTTTTTTAAACTTTTGTACATGTCTGTACTAAATTTATAACACTATCCTACATATTTTAGAAGGTACCATAATGTTCTGCGTTTTCGCTTTTTCGTAACCACCTAAACTTGGTCGGCTTACCACCGTCATTCACTTCCTAATGACTTTCATAGTATTATCTCATTAAGTATCCAATGTATTGAGCTGAAATTTTACTGATATACAACTGATCTAAACAACTAATTATTGACATAACATTCAGTTCATATATCCAATCCAGTGGCCAAATAACACCGCGTGCATTAAGGCCGTGCTCGTGAAGAACTGAATATCATCATAACTTGTTAAATACTTACGGGATACTAATGAAACTTCACATACATTTGAAGGCAGTTACAAGCTTTAAAATTACGTTTAAAGTAAGTCTTTAGACTTCTTATTGAGAGTGCTGGGGCCAATTGAAGTGTTTTTCTATTTAATGAAAAAACCTTTAAAATATGCATTATTTTGGTTTTGTTATTGCACAACAAATTTAAACTAAGTCCTCGGAAGTCGTGTACAAAATATGATAAGAATCCGCTTAACCATTTCAAAGATCTAGCAAAACCAAAAACGTTACCGCAGCAAAATCTCGAATAACTTCGCAACCGAAGAAAGAACAAATACAAAATAAGGCACAACATTTACTTTATCTAGACAACTAATTTTATAGCTAATATTTATTTAAATATTCCCATTAGAAATAAAAAGGTCTGGCTGTGGTAACGTTACGCCAGCAGGAAATGTTTTTGGGAAATAATTAAAAAACTATAAGCGCAACAAATTTAAAAATGTGCGCAACAATTACAGAAGCCGCACAACTAATTATCTATAAGATTCAAATGACCATTGTCGACAACATCTGGCCTGGGTAACGGACACGGCTATATGGACAAAATTTCTGAAATAAAGATAATTTAATTACATATTAATGGTATGAGCAGGAATGTAAATAAATAAAAGACATATAAAAAAGAGCAGTATGTTTATATTATAGCGTGGCGAGTTGGTGTCGCTTGGCGGCGAGCTCGGCCGCCGTCAGCATGCGCGTGCGCACGTTGTGCATCGCGCCCGTGTACACGTGCCGCCCGTACACGCACGCCAGGCTCGATGCCGACCTGCGATATCAAACCAAATCATTTATTTCAAGTAGACCACTACAAGGAATTCCTCCAGTATGACGGGAAAGTAGATAAGAATAGGTTCTCAAAATGTTAAAATTTTCATTTAATATAATATGATAATATTACATTTTTAGGGTGCGTCCACGTCTGGCGAATGTGCCGCGAATGCGCAGCTCGCGAGCCGTTTGCGCGCGTGCATTTTTGTTCGTGCTCCGCTCCTATGCCACCCGCGCGCTGTTTGCGCGCGACCTAAGCGCCGTTCGCGATCAGCGCGCGGTTGGCAATCTTAATCTAACCATCTGTCGTAGATTTTCATATAAATCTGGGACAATTTTAAAAAAATTGCATAGTGTCCGCTTAATTGATGGCTTTTCAACTCCGCTACTAAATTCTGTTTTCTTTTAAAAATAGGATTTTGCCACCAACGCCGTTGTCTCTTTTTTCTCCTTTTTATCAGTAATATACTAGCTAATGATGCAGCAATTATATTAAAAACACTAGTGTCGTCTGACATCTTCGATAGTACTGAGCCAGTATAAGGTACTGTAAGGGTGAGAACTGAGTGCGCGCAGATCGCACGCTGTATAAGAGCAAGAGTTGCGCTAAAGAGGTGCACCAAACCATTGCAGTGACTGCACGCGCGCAGCTCGCAATCGGCTCGCGTGCTGCGCAATCGAGGCACATTCGCCAGATATGGACGCACCCTTATTACATTGGAAAAATTGTGACATGGAAACAAAAGTGTTGACAGATTTTCACTAAAGTTCGTTCCATAATTAGAGACAACGATTTGACATTTCCAGTGTTGCATGTTTTTTCCATTTCATAAATAATAGTGAAGTCCCGCGACCGGTATTAACAGAAAGATCGAAAGTAATTTGTATAAATATTACCTATTAGCATTGATATAATTGTTTTACAAGAAACTATGGTCTGCTTTGGAATTCCCTCACAGCAATTTCACAGATGGAATGTCAAACATAATTTAAGCCTAGAAAAAGGTTGGCATTGGTTTCTATAATTATAAAAATGATGTCTGTCAAGCAGATAGCAAAATTTTTTTCTTCAGGTAAAAGTACCTAACTATCATAAAGTCAGTCTTTAGACAAGCCTAACACAAAGCTAAAGTTTTGGGTCATTAAAGGTAAAACATGGAATAAAGAAGAAAGTTGCCTTTCTTCTTATGTCAATGTGTAATCATATGTCAATTTTATTGGGGCATCTACAAGTGATTGATATGCGGAGGCATTCTATTATTTTTCTACTTTTTTTTTCAAGTATCACATTAATCAGTCAATGTCGGATAAAAAAGATATTTGAAATGAAATGATACCAAACACATACGGCATATTTATCTTAACTTATTTTTTTTACTCTGTTTGTTTTGTCCGCTAGAGGACGCCACATTAGATTTTGTTCTACCCCATATAGCCTATTAACCAGCGGACAATTTAGACATTTCTAATGATATGTCATTTTTCGAATGCTGATAAGTAGTTTAGAAGTTACGAGGGAACAGATAAACATACACACAAACATACATAGCCTGTCAAAATCATTACCCTCCTTTTGCTTTAGCGTAGTCGGGTAATAAAACCCCCATCAACTTTCCTTCCTTCTTCTGCTGCTCAAGGTCAGCGTGATAAATATTCAATCGTTCTCCGTACGAGAAGAGACCTTTACTGTGTTGATGTATTGTGTAATAACTGGGTAACTAGCTGCCACGCAATTCTTTGTGTGATCCACAAATTCTTGTTCTAGGGGTGATGTGTATGTGAAATTGTATGTTTGTAAACGCACCCACGACACAGGAGAGCATCCTAATGGGGGGCATTGTTTTTTTTTAAACTGTGGTAATAATAATACATACCCAGCCCAAACAGTAGGGGTGGCGTGTTCGCTGTCCTCTGTGAGTTTGACGGCCAGTCCCCCGCGCACCAACTCCTCTGCGAAACTTCGCATTGCAGACAAAAGCACTGCATGCACCGCACTGTAATAAAATCAAAAGTATTATTAGTTGGGCAAACGAGCAGACGGATTACCTGATGGTAAGCAATGTGGTCGTCGAGGGACGATCTCCGGCCACCGTAAGCACGGGCCTGCGGTCGGCGAGTAAGGGCAGCTCGCCGCCCGACCAGTGCCCGGCCCGAGCGTACAGCGCGTAGCGTTCCGCGCGCGCCTCAAAGAGCCATTCGACCACCACAGACGGGGCCCTAAAGGGCTGTTGCCGGGTAAGCGCAATGGGGCACCGCGACATCGGCACAGAGCAGGAGAAGGAACAGGGGGGTTTTTAGTCAGTAAGAGTCTGACACTCCCTCCTGCCCGGCCCTGGGCGGGAGAAGTCATTTGATGATGTTCCCCTCACAAAAAAAAAGCTATGTGGTCGTGGTGGCCCGGTGGTCAAGGCGCCCGCTTCTCATGCTTGAGGCTGCGGAATCGAGACCTGGCAAGTACCATTGAGACAATTTCCGAGTCATATATACTTTCTATGATTATTTAGACACCACTGACATACGGTGAAGGGCAACATCGTGAGGAAACCTGGATTTTTTATTTCTAATTATAAGTTTGAAATTGTCAATCCGCTTTGAGCAAGCGTGGTGGTTAATGCTCAAACCTTCTCCGTGTGAGAAGAGGCCTTTGCTCAGCAGTTGGCACTTATAGGCTGATGATGATGATGAGAACGATCAGCAGCTAGTTTCATCGAGTACTTTACATAAAATTTTGACGTGTAAAAGTGCTGTTTTATGGCCTATTAGCGGCCCGTCTGGGTAGATGCCAATTTTACACTGTTTCAAGATTTTTTAATATTCTCTGACGATTTCTTTAATATTTTCTGAAAAACCATAATTGGACTTCCACGAATAATTCAAGACCAAAATTAGACAAATCGGTAAAGGCATTGTTGAGTTGTAACATTACAACGAAAAGTCGCATTGATTTTTATATAAATGTATACATAAATTTCATGGTTAGATAAAAGTTACCTGCGAAATAATTATGATGCTGTCGCGTCAGAATGTTTGTATAAGACAGTGACAGCAACAATTTTATTCCTCGGATAACATTTATCTGACTATTGAAAAATCAGCTCTAAAACAATGAAACAATGAATTATTTTTTGGAAATAACAATTAATTGTTTCATTGTATCCAGTATTTAAAGTGGTTCTAGAAAACCTATTCTAAGCATTCATAGGAAAAAACTTAATGCAAGTTTCTACGGTAAGAAATAATTAAAAACATCCAACATACCTATAAGAATATCCATTGCCAACATCTTCATTCCTCAACTCGATACCAATATCAGCACATTTCCGTTCAACAAACAAAAACCTGAGTCTATCGTCCTCATTGTCCACCGGGAGGACCGTCAGACCTCCCGATTCCGGCAAAACGAGACTCGCCCTCCTCCCTCCACCAGAGGAGACCACATCGACCTCCTCATCATCAGAGAGGAGCGTCACCGAATTAGAATTACGATTTCTAGTTGAAAAATTTGATATATCGAAAAGTGACATTGTGTTTATATGGGAAGGATTTGGGTAGAGCTCCTTAATGCTTGATTCCATTCTTCGTGTTTCTATGTCGTTCCACGAAGACCATTCGTCGGCTTCCGACTGTATTTGTATTGTCTCCGACCTAATTGGGAAGTGTCCGTGTAGCCGGGTGTATGCTAGAATCTGTTTCGTACGCCAAATTGGTTCCGTCGTCGCTATATGCTCTGATAGAATTCGATTTATTAACTTCGCTCTGGACCACTGGAAAAGAAATATTATATCTTTATTATCTTATATATAAAAATGGATCGCAAAATGTTTTGGTAAGCACATAACTCAACAACGCCTGAACCAATTTTGCTAATTCTTTTTTTGTTGTGTTTGTTATTGTCAGGAGAAGGTTCTTATTAAAGAAAATATTAGAAAAGTAGAGGGGAAGGTTAGGAAAAAGTGACCCTTTGATAGCGAGATAGTTGGACCCGTGCAAAGCGGGGGCGGGCCGCTAGTATGAAATATAATTTACATTTAAATTGGTAATTTCAGACATAATAAAAGAACAACAGTTGTAAATAAGTGTGGGAGAGCCATGTTTTGGCACGAATGGGTCGGCTCGACCGGAGTGATACCACGGCCTCACAGAAAACAGGCGTGAAACAACCACAGCGTTGTGTTTTGCCGTGTGAGTGAGGCCCGATCCTTCTCCTCCCCCAATCCCTACATTTCCAAATAAGGATTTCCCCCCCAAAAGGTAGGAAACGCACTCTTATCTCCTCTGTCGTTGCGGGTGTCCATGGGCGGCGCTGATTGCTTACCATCAGGACGAAATTGATGGCTTCTCGAGGTAAGAAATTTGAGAGGGTTTAGAACTGCAGGATGATGAGGAAAGGAGCGTAGGTCAACCTCACTCACACGGCAAAACACGGCGATGGTTTCAACGTGTTTTCTATACTAATATTATAAAGCTGTTTGTTTGTTTGAAAGCGCTAATCTCCGAAACTACTGGTTAGAATTAAATAATTCTTTTTGTGTTTTTTAAGTCCACTTATCTAGGAAGGCTATAGGCTATAAAACATCACACTACGATATGTAGGAGCCGAGCAGTGGGTGAAACCGCGGGACACTAGCTAGTGTATATTATATTAAAAAAAAACAGCTCACCTCAATATTCCGTCGCTTGGCAAAATCTAATTTCCAATATCTCTCTTCAGACTCCACAACAAAGGGGAAATATTTTACAAAATCAGAGTCCAAAGCCAAATCGGTAATCAACGGAATCTTCTTAATTAAATAATTAACGCCACACCTGACACTATTCAACCTGGCAACATTGGCGCACAGTTGTTCGAATAAACATTTATCCTTCTTAATTTCAGCACTAGCAACACTGTCGGATTTCCTAGGTGTTGCCAGGTAACAATGATCATTTTCTATATGGGCAAAATTGGGTTGTACTTTTAAGTTTTCAGTGTTTTTCAACATATTCTTTACCTCGGGTTTTAATAGTGAAACGCCTTTTTTCTTTCGGAATGATTTCAAGCCATTTGACTTTATCGGACTTATTTTGGCTGTTCTATTGTTTATAACTATCTCTTGAACTTTGCTTAGGTCCAAAGCCCTGTCCATTTCTAGGTAATATATTTTCCCAGTATTCGGATCAATATATTTGACTATACGTTTTTTTGGTAAAGCTGGTTGATTGAGAATCTCATTCGGTATATCATTATCAACAACTTTATAATCACTGTCCCATTTGTTGTCCATTTCTTCTTGTGAATCATTGCATTCTTCTTTGATGTCAATTTCTTCTTTTATTTTAGTCTCTTCTGTTTTGATTTTCTCTGGTTTTATTATCATTTCGTCTACATCTACTTCTGTGGGTCCTTTTGAGAAGAATTCCATCCAGTTGTCTGTGTGTGTGTTGTTTTCTGTTGTGCTTTGTTCCGCCGTCGCTATTGCTGGTTCTATGACTGTGTCTGGGGTGTCTGTTACTGAATCTTCTTTGTATTCGAATTCTAACATTTCTGGTGTACTGTAGAGCCATACGTCGATTAAAGTTTCAGCGCCTGAAATTTAGATAATCATAGATTAAAACTGACTTTTTTTATTTATTTATTTATTTATTTATTAGGACTTTTACATTTTATGTATACCAGTCCTATTATACCCTAATTATACTTGAGTAACAAGATTTATAAACTAAAAATATTTATACCTAATTAAATTATTTTGATGACATTACTTCAAACAAGAATTTTGCTACATTTAAGTTGGGTTGACTAAGAATAACATTGAATACGCCAACATCCAGTCTGTTCAAATTAAAGGCATTTATTAAGCCCGTTCTCCCAGAATCAAACCGGACACATTCCACCAATAAAAACTGACTTACAAGTAAATGATTGTGGCCCTTTTTGTTGGGGGGAAAATCATCAAATTACTTCTTTAGCCCTGTATGGGGCGAGGGAGTGTCAGACTCTTACTGACTAAAAACCACAGCTTTGTGTTTCGCTGCGTAAGTAAGGTTACCGGAGACCCAATCCTCGCCTTCCCTTCACCTCTCTCCAATCCCTAAATCTCCGGAATACTAATCCCAAAAGGTCGACAACGCATACGTAACTCCTCTGCTGTTGTGAGTGTCCATGAGCGGCATTATTTGCATACGGCTCGACCGGAGCTATACCATGGTTACACAGAAAACCGGCGTGAAACAACTACAGCATTGTCTAGCCGTGTGAGGGAGGTTACCTGAGGCCAGATCCTAAATCTCTGGAATCCTTATCCTAAAAGGACGGCAACGCACTCGTAACTCATCAGGTGTCCAGACGCGGCTCTGATTGCTTACCATCAGGTAATCCGTCTGCTCGATTGCCGATCTATGACAAATAATAATAATAATAATATGTTGTATCGGCAAACGGGTTAGTCCCCAAAAGCCTCGACAACCACCTTAAGAGGCTTACGTTAGGCGGATGGATCAAGGGCCTCATACAGAAGGCAGTCCTCCTTGAAACGGCACGTATTGTGAGGAGGTTCTTGTCTCTGGAGCCCTAACCGCCGGCAGCTTGGACCTTGCTCCCGCTGCCAGCTGCTACTTTTATATTTTTAAATATTATTTTATTTTATAGTAATATTTTAAAATGTAATTTTAGAGCGATTTTAATAAATATATGTAAATAATAATATCTAAGAAATATCGACTCACCCAACATTTGCATGCCAGTATAATTTCTGTCCAATTTGATAGTATGTTCCACTGTAGCCGGTCTGTTTCGCTCCGGTAGGGCAAAGTGTAATTCTATTTTCGCTGGAAACTCCCCCCATCCACGACGAGACACGTGGTACGGGGGTTTGCTGTGGGAATGTGGAGGAAAATTATAATATAATCACTACTAGGGATGTTATGGATATGAAATTTTGGATACGGATAAGTGTGGGAGAGCCATGCTTCGGCACGAATGGGTCGGCTCGACCGGAGTGATACCACGGCTTCACAGAAAACCGGCGTGAAATAACCACAGCGTTGTGTTTCGCCGTGTGCGTGAGGTTACACGAGGTCCAATCCATCCCCTTTCCAATCCCTCCCCAGTTCCTAAATCTCCAAATCCCTAATCCCTAAAAGGTCGGCAACGCACTCCTAACTCCTCCGTTACGGGTGTCCATCCGCTGATTGCTTACCATCAAGTAATTCGTCTGCTCGTTTGCCGACCTATGACATAAAAAAAGTATAGGAATAATTAAAATATAGGATATGAAATGAAGCCGTGGTACCACTCCGGTTGACCCATTCGTGCCGAAGCATGGATCTCCCACACATTTTATTATTTTAGTACAATATCTATATGTTTTTTTATAAAAAATAAAAATGACTTACTCGATGTGAACAGTGTGATGGGGTGCGTATGAGTGATGCAGCCTGACGGTGACGGCGGTGAGCAGGCGGGACAGGTCGGGGGCGGAGGCCGGCCCGCGGATGTACAGCAACCATTTGTGGGTCGACCGGTCCGCCAGGGACGCCGCCGGCGCGTACTTCGACGTGTTACCTATAATTATAATAACATTTATCAAACTAATCAAGTTCAAGCAACAACTTTGTTTTTTTTTTGAGAGGGGAAAATCTTTGAGGTCGTGGTCTAAAGGCTATTTGAGACGCGCGCGGAGCGCTAAAAAACTATCCTATGTCCTTTCTCGAGCTCCAAACTATGTCTGTACCAAATTTCACACAAATAGGTTCAGTAGTTTAGAGTTGAAGAAAAGACAGACAGACAGCCTAGGAAACCTTACCTCTTTATAATATACTAATATTATAAAGAGGTAAAAATTGTAAGTTTGTATGTAGGGGTAATCTTTGGAACCGCTTCCCAAAGCCGGTCGAATTGCCAAAATTATTTCACTGATAGCTACCTACAATGTTCCTGAGCGCTATAGGCTAAAACATCACGCTACGATCAAATGGAGCCGAGCAGTGCGTGAAACCGCGCGAGAGTAGCTAGTAATATTATATAGTAAAATGGTAAACCAATAAATAGCACTTACCAATAACAATCCTGTATCTATACTTCATTTTGTTCCTGGTAACTTCGTCCAGGGTGACCACGTTCATGATCTTCGGTTCCAGGTGTCGAGGCACCTTCTTAGGTCTGCTGGTGCAGGGCTCCTCGGCTGGCACCTCCACCTCATCAGGTTTCTTGTCCGGTCGCAGAGTCTTTGTCGTGTCCGCTGATATCGTGTAATTACGTTTTTGGAGCATCGCCTGAAAGAATATTAGCGATTTCTGAATACTAACTATCATAGTAAATACTAAAACTAAGGGCTGATTTTTCAATAGTCAGATTAATTGTGACGCGACAGCATCATAGTTATTCCCCAGGTAACTTTTATCTAACCATTGAAGAATCAGCCCTAATTTATTATTCAGACTTTAACTTCATGAATATTGTTTTTTTTTCTCTATTGGAGCCGCCCATGGACACCCGCAACACCAAAGGCGCCGTCGATTGCTTACCATCAGGTAATCCGTCTGCTCGTTTGCCGACTTATACCATAAAAAATGTAAAATCGGTATTTTTTAAATACATATTAAGTTTTAATAATGATTTGAAAATTGTATGACAAGGGCACGGACCCTGAGTCCGTGGAGATTGTCAATTATTATTGATACTTATATAGAAAAAATAAACATCTTGAAGTGATGACTTTTTGGCCGCTTGTCTGATAAACTATCGGCTCTCCATGCACATCCGCAGCACCAGAAAACTCATAATAGCGTTGAAGGCCATTTGTGGGTGGTTAAGGGTTAAAATATTAGCCGGGGTTGCGGGGTAAGCGCATTGAGGTACCGCTGTTTCGGCATAAAGAATCTCTTACTTTAGGAACTGGGGGGTTTTTAGTCAATAACACCCGGTTTCTGAAAGGCTTGTCAACGCTAAAATTAACTAATCTCCTGTTAAATCTCTTGTCAAGTCATCTGATTGGTTGTTGATAATTCAGTCAACCAATCAGATGACTTGACAAGAGATTAAATTGATTTTAACATGGATCGGCCTTTCGGAAACCGGGGTAAGAGTCTGACACTCCCTCTCGCCTCACCCTGGACGGGAGAAGTCATTTCGAAGATGGTGATTTTTCCCTAACAAGGGTTAAAATGCTGAGGAGCACCAAGCTTCGGTAACTGCACTATACATGGCGAAACATAACACAATCCATATTAAAACTTGGAAATAACAAAAGACTTACAGAGTAATCCTTCCTGGATTTGTTCCTGGGCGCTCGTGTCTTGAAGATCTCTTCGAGATCTACTGTTTGCTTGCCGAGCAGTTTCCGGACTGATGGGTGCAGGCGACGCTGGCCATCTCGAAGTAGCGTTGATACCTGGTGGAGGAAACATGGAATTTTAAGGTTTTTTTTTTTATTGTCTCGCACTAAGATTTCTCCGGTGTCGTGGATGCGTTTGCAAATTTTTCTTTTTTTGTCTTATAAAAATGATGATACATACGATATAGTATCATTTATTTCAATTAGACCCATACAGGCACTTTTGATCGTCAAACAAAATTTTAAAGATATGAAGTGTCAGTCTGTCGGTAAGTCATCTTAGTGGAGCTATTTGCTCGTTCCAAAGAGTAGATTCCGCTGAAGAAGAACGAGCAAGAAACTACATAGTTACTTTTAATCTTTTTCAATCAGAAGAACTAACACACACAATGAATAATTTTAAATCATAATTCATTTTTGTAACAATTTTGAAGAGACTTTGGATTTATCTAAAAGAAAAAAAAATAGGTAGGTGAGTGAAAAAAAAATTATCGTGGTTTTCCATTTTACTAGGCACTTACCTACCTACCTAATGGTAAAGAAATTATTGATCTATTCAGAGCCATGCGATCATGTAAAAAAAAATTAACAAAAACTTCGGAAAAACAAAATCCTTGCTCCCTGGCGCCCCTCCAACCATATTCTGTAAATGCGAACTGGCCGTTCCCGATATTACGCGTAAAAATTACATTACAATTCTAGACAACAATCTTCAAAAGCTTACTTCAGCTCTCGCCCTGGGTTCATGCTGTGCAGCGATCTCGTCCTGTATCTGTCCATTCGTCAGCATCAGCTTCTGGTCCTTGTAGTAACTGTTCACCAGGGCGTACCGGAGACGGTGGAGAAGGCGGCGAGATGTCGACATCCTGACGGTGAAAGAGAAAATTTACATAAGTAAATATACATATAAAGTATACATAAGTGTAGGAGAGCCATGCTTCGGCACGAATGGGTCGGCCCGCCCGGAGTGATATCACGGCCTCACAGAAATCCTACGTAAAACAATTAGAAAGAAAGAAAGAAAAACCATTTATTTCACACACAAATGACGCAAGAAACAAACATACACGAATATAGTTAAAGAGGGACAAAACAAGCAATGAACATAAAAGAAATTTACAGCGTTGTGTTTCGCCGTGTTACCGGACGCCCAATCCATCCTCGTCCTCAGTCCCTCCCCAATCAACCAGAATGGTGTGGTTGTTTCACAACGGTATTCTGTGAGGTATCACGATATCAAATGCTCGCAAACGAGCAGACGAATCACCTGATGGTAAGCGATCGGCGCCGCCCATGGACACCTGCAACACCGGAGGAGTCACAGGTGCGTTGCCGGCCTTTTAAGAAGGAGTACGCTCGTTTTTTGAAGGTTTGAAGCTCAAATCGGTTCGGGAATACCGCCGCTGGAAGATCATTCCAAAGCTTTGCTGTGCGGGGCAGAAAGTTACGCGAGAATCGCAGTTGTTGATTGCCAACCATCTATGTGATGGCGATGAACATGTTTTCGCGTGGAACGATAGCGAAAAGATGCGGCGGGGATCAAACCGAACAATTCCTCAGAACACTCCCCGTGATAAAAGCGATATAGAATACATAGCGAGGCTACATCCCTAGGCAGTGCCAAAGAGTCCAGCCGGTACGAGACAACAGGGCAGTCAACGATTCGGACAGCTCGTCGCTGAATGCGGTCCAGAGGGAGAAGCTGGTACTGGGGTGCCCAAAGATGAGAACAGTATTCCATATGGGGCCGAACTTGCGCCTTGTAAAGTAGCAGGTTTGTAAATTCTCGAATTTAAAACTCATCATGGTGGCCCAAAGGTTAAGGCGCCTGCTTCTCAGACATGAGGATGCAGGTTCCAATGTGGTAAGTACCTGATGTGACTTTTTCTGAGTTATAATGTACTTTCTATGATTATTAAAACACCACTGACAAACAGTGAAGGAAAACATCATGAGGAAACCTGGACTTATAATTTCGAAAGTTAGAAATCACCTATCCACCTTAAATAAGTATGGTGATTAATGCTCAAACCTTCTCTGGGTAAGAAGAGGCCTTTACTTAGCATTGGACACTATAGGCTGATGATGATGTGAACAATCAAATGTTCAATAATTAAGAAACATTTTTTAATAGTTTAATTCTCTCTTATAGTTGCTTGACCTGCAGTTAGCATGGCAGAGCATCGGTAATATTGTCTTATCAGTTTGCTTTAGGCCAGAGTTCCACATTGCCTCTTTGTGTCCCATATAATACTTTAGAATCCAAACAGGTTCCATTACTACACCATGCATGTGAAAGTAGACAATTATTTTAAAAAAAGAATGCCACTTTGTCTTGTTATCTTGGTCTCGACCTGGCATTTGGGGCAGTTGCAAGCTTTTGCTAATTGCTTATTAAAAAAAAACCTGTATGATTTCAAGTTCAATGTCATTGGACTATTCTGCCAATTATAGTATGGGAATAAATGAAATTTAACAAAATGAAATGTAGTCATAGTGAGTAGCAACAGTAGCAGAAGGATCTGAGTGTAAAGTCATGGTTGCTAACAATGGTATAACCCCATGGAATGACAGAAACATTATAATTATTATTAGCAAACTGTCTTCAAGTCAGCCAAAGCAGGAAAATGCCTAAATCGAAAAGAGCAATATGTCTTACATTTTTCCCTCAACCTAAAAATACTTTCAAAAGTTTAAAAACATAGTAGTTCCTTTTTAAACTTTGAAAAGTAAACAAAGTGACACTTGAACAATAAAACATGCCAAAAAAACACCACATGGTCAAAACAATGACTTGTTTTAGCTAGTTCGCGTAGTAAATAACCTCAAAGTCAAGTTTTACATAGACGGAAACGTAGAAACCACAACAAACCTTTGATCAATAAGCATTACTTCATTTTCACGGATTTCAAGCTCATTCAAAAATTCCCGCCTGATAATATCTTTGATTCTATCAACTTTCTCATCTTCCGTCAGGCTTGGAGGCTCCTCCTTCACGCAGACAGGAGCTTCAGGGTAATCAGGATCGTGATATTCCTGTTTTGGTTCCATTTCTTGCAATTTTTACGGTAAAAAATGAGTAACGCCCTACAAGCGTCGTTTTAAAATTGCAATGTTTTACACTAATGTTTGAGTCACGGCACTTTTGTTTTTGGTTGTTTATCACATTTATTCACAGCACGATAAGGTGGGATGTTTAAACTAACACTGTTTTGTAAAAAACGATTGTAGTATTTAACCAATTTCCGCATTTGACAGTGAAAAGGTCAACAGCCGATTCATTCAAGTTTTCAGCTTTTTTTTTAATTACCTATATTCGAGACCAAGGCACTATATAGTCAAACCAACCTATCACAGATAGATAATAAAACCAACGGTTTTTTTGTGTTGTTATCATTCGCCGTAAAATAAAGAAGGCAGTAAGCGAGTGCCTTGAGCCATTGGCCGATTGAGTCGTTTAAGGCGATGAACTCAAACAACAATGCAACAAAATTGCAGCATATTATTCCATTACGCGGTCAATAAAATCAACACATGGTGCTAACACGTGCGCTGTTTCTACAAACTTTACTGTTATCACAATATTTGTAATTTTCCTAGCCATTTGACTTTTTCAAAAAGAAAACTGGAGTGATATAGTAAAATGTCTTCTGTTGATTATTTTCAAACACTTCATAAAATATTTTCGTTTTACAATAATGCTAACTGGCAACACTGATGTTTTCGCGAACATTTTTGTCGCAGACAACAATTCTAGAAACTGTCAAGTTTGTTACGTTGACGTTTTTGCGAAAATCCTTTCTTTATTTTATTAGAATTGTAATAAAATCTAAAACGGCCTCCAGTAACGGGTCGCCGTCGTGTGAACAAAGGAGCATCGACCGTGATGTGAAGGCTCGCGGGGACGAGCACGCGCCTATGTCAGACTCGCAGACACAGGGCCCCGAGGCCATGAGTGAGCGACGTCCCTTTTTCTATCCAGACAGTAGTAGTGATACGGAGGAGTACAGAAGGGACGAGGAGCGTCGCAAGCGGCTATCTAAGCGCACTGGTCCGAACATTCGAACGCGTCCTACAATGCCACCTAAGAATTTGAGTACGAATGCTCCGACACCATCGACGTCGACGGCTCAAGAGCCTCCGAGGAATGGTCAGAAGAGTCAGATCCAGCTTGGAGAGGACCGCATCACACTAGTAGTGGATAATACGAGGTTCGTGGTGGACCCCGCGCAGTTTACCGCCCATCCGAACACTATGCTGGGCAGAATGTTCAGCTCTGGTGAGTTCTTTATTTGAATTTTTCCAATGTCAATTTGTTGCTTTTTTTATTGGTATTCATTATATTTTGTGTAAGTTTTGCAGTGAATTTGTAAAGTTTTAGCAAGATTATCAACATTAAAAGTAAGTTCATTTGAACTTTTGTTGACTTAGCAAAAACTTTTGAAATTTTAGTCTGTGAAATAGTCTACAAATGAAATGATAAAAGTATACCTAAAATCTTACTACATTATTTCGAAAAACATTGCATCATAGTGTTAAATGTTTGAACTTGATATTAACATAGGAATTTTAAAAATTATTAAGTACTTAGGTTTTAAGACATACCTTTGGACTTAAGCAACTTATAAACAACAATTGAATTTTTAACATTGTGATTCCAATATCTTTTATTTCAATACAAATCAAAAGAAACAACGAATAATACAAAAATTTCATAATATAGTATATATTTCTAAGTAATATATATATTTCTAAGTAATAATATAGGGCAACAAAAATTGCAAAATTTTCGTAAATTTTGCAATTTTTGTTGCCCTATATTATTACTTAGACAAAAAAAATTTTTTGGGAAGCACTTACTGGGAAATCTATATAAAAGAATAGGTTTATAAATACAAAACTATGCATTAACTTAGGAGTAGGTTAATAGAAAACTTGGATGATCCTTATTGCCTCTAATCAATCCTTTTGGAAGATATAGGGGTAGCTTATATGGGGTAGTGGACATCTTCTGACAGAAATAATGATGGTGATAATCGAATAAGATTACTACATATACAAATATCATCAAAATACTATCTCTTGTTCAGGTTGAGGCAAGAGGGACTGTCAGACTCTTACTGACTAAAAACCCCACCATTTCTTCCCCTGCTTTAGATAGATGCTGTGATAGACCTTATTGATCTTGCTCTGCAAACCACCCATGTACTTAAATTTCCAAAATCATTGTTATATGTGTGTTCACAAATAAATAATAGAAAATGAGACCAGTTCTAAATCTCTGTATTATATGTTTGTGAAGTGGAATTTTGCAACTAAACTTTGATGTGGATATTTTTGACAGATCAAGCTAAAATTTACTATATTTTACATGGTTAGTTTGCATAAAAATTAAGCTGAATGGTTTAATCCTAGGACTAACCAACTGATAAAAGGTTGCTTTTAAAAAGTTTTTAATAGACATTCCAAGAAGGAGGTTGTTCTTAATTCAGCCTCTTTTTTTTTCTTTTGCATTAATAGTTTTTTATTACATAATCCAATGATGATAAATTAATGAGACCACCATTCAATTAGTATTTATCATGAACTAATTAAGTTTCTTGTTTATTATGAATAGTTATTAGGATAATTGATTTTGTGAAATAGCCACTTAATTTCTAAACAGTCATGAAAGTATGTTGGCATGGATGGATGTTTGTTACCCCTTTACGTTAAAACTACTGAATGGATATGAATGAAATTTGGCACAGAGATAGATTAAAGTCTGGAATAACATGTCTAGGCTTTCTTTTTATCTTGGCTGAGGTGTGAAGCTGCTGGCACAAACTAAGATTGTCATAGTTTTCTATGCATTGAAATTTGTGACACTTTATTAAAAACTATGGCTATTACTGTTTTCATTAATTTTACAAGTCTCATAGAATAAATAAATTTAGGATGGTGATTGATGTAGGGTTCAATTTTAAAGAAATTTTTCTCAATTATTGTACAGAATGAATTCAGTGTCTTGAAATGACTGCTTTTCTGAGTCACAAAGAAATTGTTTCGAATTTATAAAAGGTATATAAGAAACTAGCTACTCTCGCGCGGTTTCACCCGCTGCTCAGCTCCATTTAATCGTAGCGTGATGTTTTATATCCTATAGCACTCAGGAACATTTTATCTAAAATTAACTCTTTAAATTATATCAATGAAAGAATTTTGGCAATCCGACCAGCGGTTCCAAAGATTATCCCCTACATACAAACTTCCAAACATACAAACTTACAAATTTTACCTCTTTATAATATTAGTATAGATATCACACATTATTTCTTTAAGTTTATAATAATTAGTAGTTTCTTATCTTCTTTACCATTTTTTAATAATAAATGTGATATTTGGTGCAATAAATTTGTGATGTGAATACACAATTAAAAGAAGCGAAATTTGTCTTGTTTTGTTTATTGTCTTCTGGATTTGTTACTTTATGCTTACCATCAGGGGATCCAAAACTCAAGTGAATAGTTCTCATGTATTCAAATATGGTGGTCATAATCTTATGTTTTCTTGAAGGTATATAGAACTTTGCTTACTCCATCTTTAAAAAGAACATGGTGTTATATACATATATGAAGGCACCGGGGGGTTGGTACAAACATCAACATCCCGATCATCGTCTTCACAGTCCATCGCAGGGCGTACGATTTTATAATCAGACCGAATAAATTACAGAAATAACGGACGTCGGCGATCCGTCTTCTATGACAGTCACAGCGCTCGCTCTCCACCACAATGCGCACGCAGAACTGTCTGTTTGACGTTCCGCCAGAGTATGATTTATCGTACCCTCGTCCGATGAATTGTGATAAAATCTCCTTCAAAATTCAATTTAAATAAATCGACGCTCCGTCATATACATACATGGGGAAGTACTTGATAAGATTCTCCATAAGTGTCAGATTGCGTCACACGACTTTCTCTAGTAGATTACTCATTTAGTACTTAGAATTGAGATTCATGTACACCAACGTGACTAATATCAGTGGAGTAAAATGAATTTTCTGGAATATTTTGTAAATATAACGTTTTCTTTGTATGTTAGGGATTTTCCATTTATAGTTTGACTCACCCTCGTCTACGCCTGATTAAAAGCGTACGGCGCTTTGCGTTCCGAGCGCTCCTCAAAGAGCCATTAGACTGACATAGCTTTTCGATGTCTAGCCAGAGCTGCAAGGGTTTTTTTAGGGGAAAATTATTCAATTACGTCTCGCCCAAGTTTCGGCGGGAGGAAGAGTCAGATTTTTAATGACTAAAACCCCACACCCCCGTCGCTTCTCCTGCTCTGGGCTGAGGCCGCGGTGCCTCATTGCACTTGTCCGTCAACCTCGATTGAACATCAGCTCCGTAGGGCCCAGTCTCTAGGGTGGTAGTCTATTGGCTCTATGAAGCGCGTACTACGCACCGTACGTTCGGGTCTGGTTCTGGTCGGGCGGCGAGATACCCTTACTCGCCGTCCGCAGACCCGCGCTCACGGTGGCCGGAGATCGTCACTCGAGAATTGCGGGTGTTGGCGCAATAATATCCCGTAACCCCGGCCCGTAGCAGGATAAGGCAACGGGGTGGTTTTAAGTCGGTTTGAATCTGACATTCCCTTTCGTCCCACACAGGGCCGGAGAAGTCATCAAAAAAGCCTATGAATATATGATTCCCCATCAAATTGCTCTGCTGCGTCTAGTCTACGTGCCAGACATGAGGGGTTTAAAGGAAACATAACCAAAATATAACATAAATTTTACCCCATTTTGACTAGATTTCCTAAACAATTGAAAAGTCCCAATAATGCATTGTGTTCTTTATTAAGCCCGCCTCTTCGCAGTCCAGTCATACTACTCGATCAGTGTGCTGTGTATTACAACTGATATCGGTTTATTAGAGAACGCTGTTGCCCGGTCTTTGCCTAAAGTCCTTTAGTCAGTTCTCACGATACTTTCGAGAGAGAGAGAGAGATTCCAAATACTAAGCCTGATTCAATGGTTTAAAGCAATGTAGTCTACATTTAAAGATAAACCTTGTTTTGTAATAAATAAGGGGGTTTGTTGCTAAATAAAAGTTTGAAATCGCTATCCGTCTTGAGCAAGCGTGGTGAGTAATACTCAAACCTTCTCAATGTGAGAAGAGGCCTTTGCTCAGCAGTGGGTGCTTAAAGGCTGATGATGTGTCGGCTAATGTGTTTTTTGTTCTACCCCGCCACCACACGTATTCATAATTTCCCGTTAATTGCAACATTTCTCTCCGTATGTATTCACAATTAGCAATGACTCATTTGTAGGTCACTAATGTCTTCCATCGGT